GTAGAGACTTTGCACAACTCTTCCAGATTATGTCTTAAAATGAAGCGTGGGCGTGACAAGGACCCTAAAATTATGCAATCAAGTATTTGCAGTGTAACAAATCAGCTTTTACTCCAAGCAGCTTGCAAAGCTGCTCCCTGTTCTTGCTACGGAGAGGTTACAAAATTCATACTGGGAACGAACTCAAGTTCTGATTTTTGCCTTTGTATCTCTGGAGTTTCGTAGGGATGTGTAGTCCACACAGGGCTGGCCTGTCAGGTGTTGCTCCCGCTCCTTTCCAACTGCTTGATCCAATCCTGCTGGCAATTATAAGTAGTTGTCTTCCCATAGTTATTATCTGTACTGAGATAGAGTCAGGCTGATTTCTGGGGGGAAAAATGCCCTGTAGAGCTGAATGGGATCAAGAGAAAGTGCATAATTTGGTCAATTAAAAAAAGAAATGTTTGACTAGAGAATCTCCAACATAGGTCAGAAGATGTCTCAATAATTTAGCAAGCTGAGACTAGCACAAAACATATTTTTTAATCTCCTCTAGCAAGGCAGACTCATCCTTCCCCTTGCCRCTATCCTCTTATCTCCTTATGTCCCAGCATGATCAGTCCCACCCCCATTGAATTCTTCCTCTGCCTTTTGGATAGGAATAGGAGTTAGCGCTGGAGGAGGCTCATGCTGTGTTCTGCAGAAGACGTATTCTCTGTTGCAGATCTTACTACTCCTATGAAATCTAAAGCTGTGAGAGTGACTCTCCCCTGCTAGGTTAAAGCAGTCTCTTATAAAATGAACCAGGTGTATTTTAGGAGAACCAGTCCTCTTAGGTGTGCAGCGCTGAAAGAAGCAGTCACCTGAAGTGAATTGCATTTGTTTCACTTCGCAAAAATCAGGGAGTTCTTCTTCCCCATGTCAAAGGCATCTTTACGAAACTGAGCTTTGACAAAGCACCACAGGAGGAAATAAAAATTGGTCTTGTGATTAACTTARTATTTCTTCATTACAAGTCCTTACATAACAGATCTTTCACCCTGTGGCCAACAGTGAAAAGCTGCTTGCAAACCACGTTGCTGAAGGAAGGGCAGTGAGAGTTGAACAGCTTGGAGATGCAACTTTGCATTTCTCCCGAGTGCCCCTATAATCTCTAGGGTATTTATTTACACATCAGCTTTGTATTCCCTTAAGCATAGACAAAACAAGGCTTTGGCAAAGGCTGTTCAAGTGAGCAGCCAAAGGCCCATTGAAGGTGCTGGACTAAGCGTGMTATTAACAGTTGGCTTTGGATGCAAAAATATGGACGAGGAACATCTTGTTGCATGCCCAGAGGAGCTAGGATAGTGAAGAGATGCAGAGCAAAAGAAGGGGACCAGAGGGGAGCATCTTGGCTGATGCCCTCAGCGCAGCAAAGCAGCTGGGCTGGGTTGAACTGTTCAAYGCCAGGCTGGACCACACTGTCCCAGGAGGAATCATGCAGTGCCAGGTTGGACYACGCTGGGCTGCACCATGCCCTACTGGGCTGGACTGTGCAGTGTTGGGCTGGACTGTGCAATCCCAGGCCAGACTGTGCAGTACCAGGTTGGATTATGCCATACTGTCCCATACAGTGCCAGGCTGGACCATGCCAGGCTGGACTAGGCAGTGTCAGGCTGGACCAAGCAGTGTCATGCTGGATCACATAGTGCCAGGCTGGAACACACAGTTCCAGGCAGGACCATGCTGGACTAGACAAGCTGTACCATGCCATGCCATGTGGCACTGTGCAGTGTCAGGCCAGCCCACACAGTGCCAGGTAGCCCCATGCAGTGCCAGATGGCACCATACAGTGCTAATCTGAACTGTGCAGTGCTGGTCTGTACCAAGGAGTGACAGGTAGTCCCATGCAGTGTCAGCTAGCACCATGCAGTGCCAGGTAGTCCCATGCAGTATCAGGTAGCACTGTGCAATGCCAGGTAGTCCTGTGCAGTGCTGGTCTGGCCCATGCAGTGTCAGGCAGTGCCAGGAAGTTCTGGTCTGCCCCGTGCAGTACCAAGTTGCACCGTGTAGACCTGGTCTAGCCATTGCAGTGCCAGGCAGTCCCGTGCAGTGCAGGTCTGGACCGTGTGGTGCCAGGTTGCACCGTGCAGTGCCAGGTTGCACCATGCAGTGCCAGGCGGTCCTGTGCAGTGCAGGTCTGGACCGTGTGGTGCCAGGTTGCACCGTGCAGTGCCAGGTTGCACCATGCAGTGCCAGGCGGTCCTGTGCAGTGCAGGTCTGGACCGTGTGGTGCCAGGTTGCACCGTGCAGTGCCAGGTTGCACCATGCAGTGCCAGGCGGTCCCGTGMAGTGCAGGTCCGGCCTGTGCAGTGCAGGTCCGGCCCATGCGGTGCCAGGCAGTCCCGTGCAGTGCAGGTCCGGCCYRTGCRGTGCMRGKYYGSMCTGTGCAGTGCAGGTCCGGCCCGKGCGGTGCCAGGCGGTGCCAGGCGGTGCCGGCCTGACCCGCTCCGCTCCGGGGCCGCCCGAACCCGGCCGGGCCCCGCGGGAGGGAGCGGCGCCTTCCTCCCCTCCCCGCCCCGCGCGGCCCCGCCCCGGCGCCTCGGCCAATGGGAGCGCCGTCTATTTGCATATTCGCATATCATTTGCATGCCTGCGGCCACATAAGCGGCGGCGGGCGCGGGGCAGCGGCAGCGCGACCGTCCCCGCGCGACGGGGCCGCTGCTTCGCACTCCCGCCTCTCCTCCCTCCTGCTCTGCACCCCTTCCCAACTTGCCTTTTTAGTTATTTACTTTGCCTACTTTCTTTTATCTCCTTTTGTTTTGTTTTTTAATTTTTTCGCTCCTGCGCCGAAAACTTTTTTTTTTTTTTCTTTTTTGTGTGTCTGTTTGTTTTGTTTCCCGCGGAGCGCCAGGGCAGCGAGCGGAGGAGCCGACATGGGGCGGGCGGCGCTGCTGGCAGCTCTCTGCCTCTGCCTGCGATGGGTGCCCGCGCCGTGCGCGGCCCCGGCACACGGTGAGTGACATCCCTGTCCCKCTCCCGGTCCCGCTCCCGGACCCGGCGGGAGCGGCACCGTGGGGTGGAAGGGGATGCTGTGAGCTCGGGGGGTCCTCGGGAGGGGGATGCCACGGGGAGAGGTGTCCCTAGGGTCCCTTGCCCTGGGGTGATGTCCTTAGGGATGCCACCCCCGTCCCGTGGGTCATCCCTGGTGCCTGGTGGGGTTGGTTACCCATGTGCATCCAAGACACGGTGAGTTTTGCCAGGCCGTGGTAACACCCCCAGGTTGTGATAAATGCCTTTAATGTTCCAGCATCTGCTGGAAAAAGAGCTGACAGAGGGGAATTCCTAGCAGTGCCTGCATATGTGCACTTATATATACATTGCTGTGTYTGTGCTCTTCTGCATGTGTGTGTTTGTAGGCACCCCCTCCAGAATATAGAAGTTGGGACAGGTACCTTGGCGACTAGTAGGTGCTTCCTGCTGCTCTCTTGGTTAATCTGCAAGGGGGCTGCAGATTTAACAAGCAGAGGGTTTCGTTGCAATAGTCCACTACTCCTTAAATTTATGGTAGCAGGGCCCTGCCAAGGTCTTGCTCTCGTAGACATTGCGTGTGAGAGATTAGTGTATCTTTAAAAGTCCACACCGTGAGAAGAAAAGGTGGATGTATCTGTTATAGCCACAAAGTGAAACTCAAATGTCAAATAGGAGACTTCTGTGGTTTTTTTTTCCCTCTCTTCTCTTATTTTTTCCCCTTCTGAGGATGCCTCTTTCTGTTTAGAGATGCTGCAGGGAGGTACTTGGCAGTGAGGGGATGGGGTGCTAGGGCACAGCCAAAGGAATGTCTACTCATATGAGATGCTGCCTTGTGCCATCAAAAGTGATTTTCATCAGGGTATCCGAACCTCATAAAGTGAGATAACTCACTGTCGTCCCACTGGGAATAACTACTTTGCTATGGAGGCTTTCTAATGAATGTATTAGTTCTCCATAGGAATAGCTTATATGAGAACAGGTGGTGTGACCATCATGAAGCTATCTAAGCCTTGACTCTCACGCTATTTCTTGCTCATCATAGTAAAAATATTCTTTTGAAACCGTGGAAAATACATGACACAACACTCCAGGAATCCAGAATCCTCCACAAACAACATTTAAAAAAAAAAAAAAAAATCTAGGTGCAGATAACACTGGTGTTCCAGGAAAAGATAACATTTCTGGGAATGCACGCTGCTCTCTATTTTTACCAGCGTAAATCCGGAGCGAGGGGCTGCAGCAGACGTAGTGTGCCGCGCGCTGCCAGCCCGCGCGCTGGCTGCACGTGACAGAGTGACGAGAGCAGCCGGGCTGCAGCCCGGGGGCTGCTTCCCCCCTCGGAGGGGAGCTGCAGCGGGAGAAGCGCTCCTGGGAAAGCCCGCCGGAATTCCAAGGTGCTGGAGCGTGCGAGGTGCTGGCACCGTGGGCCTCGCTTGGTCCTTGTGGCGTCAACGCTGGTGCTGCGTCTTGCGGCCTCGGGCTGGTTGCAGATGCCCCAGAGGGATCTGCTGCTGGTTGACTGAGCTGCAAGGCTCCCTGGTGCAGCTCAGCAAGCACGTGCTGGACAGGAGCCCCATGAACATGGCTTGTGGGGCAGAGAGGGCTTTGCTCCTGCCACCATCCGTGGGGCTCCTGTGGGGCTCCTCCACCCAGCTGGTGGATATCACCTTTGGCCCCATGGCTTTATTGGAGGTCTTGGCCTTCCCAGCGGCTCTTCCAGCCTGGGAAGTGTGGGAGAACTTGGGCTTGGGGCTGCACCGTTAAGGAATGCATAAACAACCGGGAGCTTGAGTTTCTTCCATGGCAAAGTTAAACAGTAACCTAACTTCTGGGGTAGGTTTCTAAYGGGGTTGCAACACGGTAGCCTGGTTTCCGTTTCTGCTATAGATCACATGAAGCGATAACGCCTTCTGTGATATAGTGCCTTTATTACAGCTGGCCGGGGCTTGCTCCAGGCATGCRGTGCCATGGATGCATCCCCACCCCTCCAGTTACCAGCTGGAGGACGAGCTGGTTCGGTTAGCTCCACCTGGCTCCGTAAATGCTGGATCTCGTGTGCCAATGTGTGCCTGTGTGTGGGTTTACATGGGCAAGCGGTGTCATTTCTGATGTTTGTCGCACTTAGCCAATAGCATTTTCATTTCTGTGTAAACAGTGTGAGGAAACTTCTGTTTGTCTAAGCTTCCCTGCTAATCCGTGGGTAAATCAGGTGCACTGATTTTTGGCAACTGCATTATTATGATTTTTGGCTGCCTGTTCCTGAGGCTGGCTGCTTAATTTTTTGCTTCATATTCCAGATGCTCTTATTCCTCAGAATTCAAGTTTTCCACTAGTGATAAAGCTTCCTCCATAAAAAACAACTGCAAGGTTGCCTTAGGTTTCCCATGAAGGAAATATGAGGCTGAATTCCCTTCTTGATTAGTGTGTAAACTTGTATTAACACTGTGTCAGCATGCTTGAAGTCAGTGATACTCTTTCCAAATTGGTAGGAGTTTCCAATTTAATGGAATTTCACAAGCTGCAGGTCCAGAGCAGAGTATATTTGGCTAAAATAGGAAAATTCAGCTACTGAATTTTCCCATAATCTAGGTATTTTATTAGCAGTTTCTTCAGAGTTCTAAGATTTTAGAGTATACCTGGAATTATAGGACATCTTTTCAGAAGACTACAGTTTACAGTATGTAGGTAGAGGTTTGAGGAAAGCATCACAAAGTTTGCAGGGTGTGATAAAATGACAGAATTTGGCAACAGAGTCTATATGCTGCCATAAACGCCACCTGGAGAGCTGGGTATCCCTTCTAGGCCACCTTTCCTTGAGGCCAAGAGCTGTATTTGCAACCGTGTGCCTGCATATTCTTTGCAACCCAGAGCACATGCCTTAGTACCTCTGCTGCACTAGGCTCTGGAAAGCGTGATTTTTAGCAAAAGCACAGATTTGTTTGGTCTATGCATTTAAGCAAGCCCCCAGATCTGTTTCCCTTCAAGGTCTTGTTTAGAAATAGAGCTGCATTCTTCCCTCTAAAGTACTAAAACATTTTAATATAGACCCATGATTTTCTTTRAATGTGATTTTTCTTATCCATCTACATTATGCCAAGCCAAGAAATTCTAAGAAAGAATTTCTTCTTTCTTAGAAGAAATTCTAAGTTCGTATCCACTGTTCAGAAACCATTTGAAGACCCGCTGTGGGTTTCACTGTATTAACTAACTTGTGATAAAACACATCTTTAATTAAGCAGAGATGAGTGTGCAGACAGGCTGTGCATTTCTTTGGCCTTGTGCAAGACTGTGGGAATGAAACCCACCACCATAATATTTGCCTGGAAAATTAGAATGTGATTCATGGGGACTCCTCATTTTAAATCTATGAGGAAAAAGCCTTTGACAAAAGTTTATGAATGACACAATCTGGGTCTTGATTATTTTCTTAATGGGACCAAGACTTCTAAGTACATGTGTGGAGCTGGCAAGTGGGAGCTTTTGAAAGCACGCACTGCTGGGGTTTTAAAGCRTGTTGTATGTACATAATGTCAGTATGCGTGCATGGTGAGTACATCTACGTCATTACTTCTGCTTGGTATATCTAAAGTTAAGTCTGTAAATGGTAGGTGATTACATGCTTTTGCATGCAGCACCCTCCAATTTTACAATGCAARGCGCAGACAGATTTTCTTGTGCTGTGGCCCAGAATTTGTAAAGCTGAATACAAGAAAACTTTTGAGGACTTTTTGAGGATTATTAAGAGGGGACAGTGTCTGTAACCAAGCACAGTTAYGCTTCAGTCATCGAGAGGGTGTCCTGCTGCTGGGAATTGAGCAGGGGTGGCCATCAGACACCTTTTGTGAGCATAAGAGATGCTAATCGTACTTTCTTCTAACTTTTTAATACCTTCTGTGGCAAAGCCAAAGGAGCAGGTGGCCTTATGCCATTTCCCTAACTTAGGGGCTGTTGTTTTGCAGCAGCTGCTTTCACAGAGGTGCCTGCATTTCAGTGCTGGGTGAATTGCTCCTATATCCTAAATCCCTGCCAAAGTTCCTAGCAGACTGGGACATATTAATATTTGCAAAGCACTTTGCACCTCTCCTGGAGAAGGTGCTGCTTTGCTGCAGAGTCTCCTCATTAGTGACATGCAATTCCAGGTTTAGCTTTGGGATGTAGAAATAAGCCCATGGCCAACCTAAGAGAGAGAATCTGAGCTATTTGTACATTACAGCATGTATCTTTTATTGCAAATGGGCAATGAGACAGACATCAACTTAATTTAGGTTTTAGGTGATTATCAAATAGGTTTAACTGAGAAGGGAAATGATTCCTGAATGTGAAAGGGTGTGTGTGTGTGTGTGTGTGTGCATATATATGTGGGTGTGTGTGTGTATATATATATATATATATATATATATTTCTGTCCTGTGTGGGACGGAAATATAAATAATTAGAAGTCCTTGCACTGTACACTTTACAGGCGAAAGCTGTTCTTGTTATTTTTAAGGACTTACAGATTCATTGCTGATTGAATGTCAAATAGCTTATATATAACCAGCAGCTAATCAGCGTGTGGGTCTTACCTTTTTTTTTTTTTTTTTTCTTTCTTTCCTTCTGTTTGAAAAAAGAAAAAGTGTAATTCATTCCAGAAAGGAGTTCCGCATTTTGGTGAGGAAATGAATGAATGTGAAAAAATACAAAAAAAGGGCAACTTACTTTGTGAGAGGCCTGGAGAGGATGAGGATCAGTTGCAGGCCAAACAAGTATGCCTAGTATAGCAGATCTGGGTGTTTTCAGTAGGTAAGGTGTTATTTTTAACTTTCTCCTGGTTTGGATGGGGATAAAGAGCAATAAGAGTGTTTTGGTGATGCTGTAAACGGCACCTGCTCTTGGGGAAGAGGGGTCCATGGTGTAATAGCCTGGACTGACCAACCACCTGGGTGCAGTGAAGGTCCAAGGCAGTGCTGAGCTCCACAGTTCATCTCAAGCCTCTGCATAGGCTTCACTTTTGGTAGGCCCCATGGGCTCTGGCCACTTTAAGCTACTGATGGGTAGGCTGCTTTTGTTGCTTTCTTGTTGTTGTCTGTTTGTTTTTGTGTTTGTGCATGCAGGAGCATCTCACCTTGCACCTCCGCGTTGTTGCCTGTGGAGGCTCCGAGCCATTCGTTAAGATGCCCTTAGGAGCTTGTGAAACCCCAGGGTAGAAAGACAGAAAGTGACATGGAGCAGGGCACAGCTGGCCTAGGTTGAGCCGCACTTGGAAAACAGATGATCAGAAYTGGCTCAGTGGAAGCTCCTGAAGCAGGACCTGGTTTCAGAAAGCATTACAGTGAATGCTTAAGCCCATCATTAATTACAGGGTCTGCTGAGGAGAGGTGCTTAGGTGTTGAATCAGACCTAGAAAGACAAGGCATTTAAGTTTCCTTCCAGGCAAAGGACTCAGCAAGCAGAGAAATCTGAAGTCAGGAACAAAAAGAAMAATTTATATTTTGAATTGGGAAAGTCAAGGAGGTGCACCGAGAAATAAATGCTCCTTTCAGGCACAGCCCACCACATGCTGTGTTACATAATATTTMCCCACTCCGGACTCAAAACATCTTCAGACAGGGGAAGATTCCTCTCAAAACCTGATTATTAGATGAGCTGAGATAATACTGCCTTCAAAACGCAGATTTCAGCTTTCCTAGTTCAGTCAAGTTCCCTTAAAGTGTTTTTAGTATTCTCACCTGCTGTTTTCCTGTGTTTTGTAAGAAAACTGTGTGTTTACAGCTGTTACCGCTGATGGGCTGCAACTAAAAAGGAGCCTTGCTGAGGAGTGATTAGTGCTGAAGCAATGTGGAAAATGTGCCACCAAAATATACTGTAGTGTGGTAGGAACTTCTTGCTTTCCCACATCATGACAGCACTCCTGTGTAGTTTTCTGTACCACTTTGGTGATTCACGGGCTTCCTATTAATAATACAGTGGAGAAAATACTGACTCTCAAGTTGAACTTATATGTATCTGAGAGCTGGCCAGGCTGTCCCTGGTGGGACACCTTCAGGTGGGAGCAGCTTTTACACCTTTTTCCTTTTTACAGACACTGTGATGCAAAAGGAGCTCTGAGACAAATGGAAACCAAATGCCCATTTCTTCCCTGTATTTTGATCCYTCTCCAACATCATGCCCATGACAATTCTTCACTTACTGCCAGTCTTCCTGTAGCAGAACTGTTTTCCTTAATCCTTGTAAAACGTAACTCTCCCTTTCCTATGGTCTTGCTGTACAGGAGCTGAGAAGAACTTTGAGGGAATTGAGAGCAAGTTTTCCTTGAGGACGGCCAAGGAGCCCGACGAGGACTCCTGCTACCTGGTTCCTGGGCAAGTGGAAACTCTGGCACACTGCAACTTCAACCACACCAGTAAAACCTTCGTGGTGATCCATGGGTGGACGGTAAGAAGGAAGGGGAGAGGTCTCCCTCCTAGGAATGTCCTCATGCCTGCTGGACAGTGTTAAATGTCTCAGCAGATGAGCCTTGTTTGCCAGTAAAAAAAAATAATGCTACATTATATATATAAATCTTAATTATTTTTTGAACCAGGTGACAGGGATGTATGAAAGCTGGGTCCCAAAGCTGGTGGGCGCCCTGTACAAGAGGGAACCTGACTCCAATGTCATTGTGGTTGACTGGCTCACTCGGGCTCAGCAGCACTACCCRGTGTCTGCTGCCTACACGAAGCTGGTGGGACAGGATGTCGCTACCTTCATTGACTGGATGGAGGTAAGAGGTGCCACACGATATATATATATATGCACATACATACATATGTTTTTATATGTATGTATAAAGTCTGAGGAGATAAAGCACTAATGATGCAGCGATATTGATGGGCTCCCATAGGATAGATGCGGTTGAGCTGGCTCAGACTGTGCTTTGCTGGACTRGCAAAATCCTGAGTTCCCTTCTGCGGCTGTTCCCTCACAAGGAGGCCTGTGATACAATAGTCTGAAGACTTTCACCTTGTGCCCTGTGGAGCCCTCTGGGTTCACACWCTGTTCCTCAAGGCTGTGTGACAGTAGCTGTGAAAGACACGTTCCTATAGATTATACAGCAACCAGCACATGGTCTCTTCACTTAGAAGTCTACCCTGCCATTGGGGAATACTTAGGGGATCTGGAAATTGGTGCGTGTCAAGGGAAGGCTGGAAAACTTTGAGATAATACATCACTACATCTACTATGATAAAAAGTTTTCATGGATGTTTGTCCTGTGTTCTGTCCCTAATTCTGTATTCGTTTCTCCTTAGATTTTTGTCATAAGCTAGTTAGCTCAAATTAGGTAGAACAGAATAATGTTAACTTAATTTTGTGCTTTTTTTTGATTGCTTGTTTGTTTTTCTGTATTATTGTCTACAATTCACAGGGGAAATTCTCTCTCTCTCTCTTTTTTTTTCTTTTTCTGATAACATTCCTTTCCCAACCCAGCCACTTTTGATGTTGTTAGATTTTACTTCAAACTCGTGTGTTTTTTTTTKKTTTTTTTTTTTTAATAAAAAGCTTCCTTTCCTAGGAGGAAATCGAGTACCCTGTCAACAACGTCCACTTGCTGGGATACAGTCTGGGTGCCCATGCTGCTGGGATAGCTGGGAGTCTGACCAAGAAGAAGGTGAACAGAATTACTGGTGAGAACCTGTCTATTCCTTCCGTAAGCTGAAATATCTCTTTCCCCTAGAAAGTCAACAGAATAAATGTTGCTTGTTGGTAGTGTTTAGGCTATAAGTTCATTCAGCCCCAAATCAGTGGGGCTGATAGTTTGTACAGCAGAATGGAAAAAGTTTGAGAGCAGAGCAACATAGGTGGCAGGTGAGAAATCTCCATCTCCTTGTGCACAAGAAATGAGTGAGTAGGCAGGGAGTCAGTAACCTTGAGGAGAAACCAGCTGGGGGGATGTGACAGAGGCTGGGCAGATCCATGGCTTGGAGAGGGCAGCAGGAGAACTCCAGATAGCAATTCTTGAACCAGAATCCACCTCTGGACACTGGTGGGGTTGCTCCAAGCAAACAGGAGAGTGTCCTTCTACTCAGCCCTGGTGAGGCCACATCTGGAGASTGTGTCCAGTTCTGGGCTCCCCAGTACAAGAGGGATGTGGAGCTGCTGGAGAGAGTCCAGCGCAGGGCTACSAGGATGATCAGGGGCCTGGAACATCTGCCCTATGAGCAAAGGCTGAGGGAGCTGGGYCTGTTCAGCCTGGAGAAGAGGAGGCTGAGGGGGGACCTGATCAGCGTGTATAAATACCTCAAGGGAGGCAGTGAGGAGGAGGGGGYGGCCTCTTTTCAGTGGTGGCCAGTGACAGGACTAAAGTAAATGGCTTCAAACTGAAGTATCAAAAGTTCCACAGGAACYTAAGGAAACACTTCTTGACAGTGAGGGTGCCAAAGCCCTGGCACAGGCTGCCCAGAGAGGCTGTGGAATCTCCTTTTTTGGAGATCTTCCAAACCCACCTGGATTTGGATCTTCCTGGATCTTCCACAACCACCCTGTGCTCCGTGCTCTGGGTGACTGTGCATGTGCATAGGGTTTGGACTAGATCTTTGGAGGTCCCTTCCAACCTTAACAATTCCATGATTCTATTATTCTGTGATATCTGCAGTGAGTGCCATATCTGCAGAGCTCATGGCCAACAGATACATAAACTAGATGTTTATATCAGCCCAAGGGGACCATATAGAAATAATCAGAAGAGATCCACTGCAGGTTGCTAATGAAAATCCTCAGGATGGTCTTTCCTAAGTGCTGGTTCCAGCGGAGCTGTACAGGGAAGTCACATCCCACGGGGACAGCTCTATATGCAGCCGTGTCCCAGGCATGTTGCCCTGACATGAGGGATCGTGCGGTAACAGAAGCAGCTTGTGCCTGTTTGATAAATAGAGGTCTGTATTTTCTAGCAGAGTAGCAGTGAATGTTTTTGATGCTACAGTGCTGCTGCAAGTTGGAATCGTGTCATGGTGTTCCCCTCCCCTTAGGCATGCAAACTCATTTATGTTCCCCACTTGTTCCCCTGGCAGGGAGYTAGCAGCAAGATATTATCCACACTTCAGACACTTCAAACAGAGATTTTTAACTTCCTCTGTCTCTTGACAAGACAGAAGAACACTGAGAAAATATCTATTAGCTAGTTTCTGCCGTTCACTATAAACGCTACAGCCTTGGATAAGTTAATTGTGGCTTTTTTTAACCTATGTTTACACACACCTTTTTTAAAAAAGGTGACAGCATTTCAAGTTAGGGCGTTTGATCCTCCTGCCTGCATGAATGTTAATTAAATGAGCCCGCTGTAGCGGCACCGTTTGGGAAAAACTCCCTCCCAGGCGCCGAGTTTGGTGTTCGCTAGCACTGTCAGTGCTTCGGCAGGCTGCCTGCTCAGTCCTGTTGTTGTGGCTTCCCCGTGAAGGGCTGGACCCTGCTGGTCCCACCTTTGAGTACGCCGACGCGCCGACRCGCCTGTCCCCGGACGACGCGGACTTCGTGGACGTGCTGCACACCTACACGCGGGGCTCCCCGGATCGCAGCATCGGCATCCAGAAGCCGGTCGGGCACATCGACATCTATCCCAACGGTGGAGGTTTCCAGCCAGGCTGCAACTTGGGAGAGGCTCTGCGGCTGATTGCTGAAAAGGGCTTTGCTGGTAAGACGACGACGCAGCAAGCAGGGTAGAACCTAAAGAGGGATCTTTGGTAGCATGTGGGCCTCCTACTAGCAGAGATCCTCTCAGCAGACACAGGGATTTGCCCTTCTAGGTCCTTTTAAGACTCTCCATATAAAGCCCAGTTTTGGAACAGAGGCTTTTGCCCATTGATGCCATTGCTGACATTTCTATGTCATTACTTTTACCCACATTCACACCTATATGTACACAACCATATGAATATGAATAAAGCATTATATATAATGTATATTTCTTTTCCTTTGAAGACGTGGATCAGCTAGTGAAATGCTCMCATGAACGGTCCATTCACCTCTTCATCGACTCCCTCCTCTACGAAGAGAAGCCGAGCATGGCCTATCGCTGCAACACGAAGGAGGCCTTCGAGAAGGGCCTCTGTCTGAGCTGCAGGAAGAACCGCTGCAACAATCTGGGCTACAAGGTCAACAGAGTGAGAACCAAGAGAAACAGCAAAATGTACTTGAAGACTCGTGCRCAGATGCCCTATAAGGGTAGGTCCTGCCTGGTTACTGGTGAGCAAGAGTGGTGGTTGTGTTCAGATCTGTGTAGGARCAGGTCTGTGCTCCCGATGACAATACTTCTCGGTGCCTGGAATGCCTTTGGTGCCTGGATGTTGCTACAAAGAGCAGCTAAAGAGCAGCCTTAGAAGAGCAGTGAGGCTTTATTTATGGTGTGGAATTTGTTGTGTGGAAGATGAAGAGGGAAATGTTTTATAACAAACTTCTAAAGTGACAAAATGAGAAGATGATTTACTGTGCAGCTGGGACTATGACTGCACTTGGAACAAATGAGTCTCCTGATTTTTTCCAGTACTTTTTTCCTTCATGAGTTTTTCCTTCTGCTGGGAAAACAATCAGTGGAGCTCACCCTCATGAGTAACTTAAGATGTGCAGCTGTCAGGCTCTTGCCCTTCATACTGCCTCTGGCCAGAGGAGCACCATTCCTTATGCTAAAATCTCACAGCACTTATTAATTTCCACTGCAACAGTGGCAGGTCTGAGAAAGACAGTGCCAAAACTGAAAGACTTTCAAATAAAGAAATAACTACTAAGTTGAGCTTTATTTTTTATGTTTTTTTTTTAAATCTAGCTTTGACTGTGCCACATGGCTTTGCTGCCTCTATTGTGAGCAGAGAGGAACAGTGTGATGGCCCAGTAATCAGAGGGGAAAATTCTTTCAGGGTTGGAAGAGATGCAAGAATAGGCTTCTGTTGGCATTTGGCACTTAATCTGCAATGTCACGAGGTTGAATTTACTTTACCAAGCTCCTGTATGATGAGAAGGGCACAGCTCATTTGATTCATTCTATGTCGTGCACATTTACAACAGGTTTGAAGGCCATACGGCAGACCCCATATTTACTGAGTTTCCACTCAGCTAGACATTCAGTTTAGTTGCAAGCACTGCAAAAGTTTTTAACTGTTGAGAACTTTGCCTCMCAAAATTTACCTCCTCAGAAGAATATTTCCCTAGATACCCGCAGAATTCCTCAGTATAGTGATGGTGGCATATTCCAAATTAGGATTTGCACCAGGTTTTTTAAGTGTTTGGTCCTCAGTATTTTCCCTTTGGAGCTCTTGGCTTTTAAATAATAGCTTTCTTTTGTGTTCTTCCTCCAGTCTTTCATTACCAGGTGAAAATCCATTTCTTTGGGAAGACAAATACGACCAAGACAAACCAGCCTTTCCTGATCTCTCTGTATGGCACTCTGGATGAGAGTGAGAACATTGCTTTCACACTGTAAGTAGCAACAGAAAACACTAAAGTGCAACTGATTCCCCTGTGTTTTGCTACCCCACTGCTGTGTCTAGCCCAAATCTCTTAAAGCCCTGGTTGCAAAGTTTGTTTTTCCAGCTCCAGCTATGGAAATCTGCCCTTACAGGTTTCCAGGGTTGGATCTTGTCAGTGATCAAAGGCATTGTTAGTTTTTCCCTTTTTAAGCTGTTGTGCCATGCTCCAGCTGCGTTAAAGCTGCTTAAAATCAGAATGTGACCTGGAATTTTTGCTTGATCCATTGACCAGAAATYGAGGTTATTTTTTCTCCCTCCTCCTTGAAGCACAACTTTTTCCCTTCATTTCCTTTTGTTTGCTTCTTATATAACCCTCATCCCACCAATCTTTCCATAGTCCTCTTTTAATATTACATGTTAGTCTTTTTGGCTCTTACAGTCTTTGCAATAGTTCCCACTTCTTTTTGTTTCTTTTTTACCTCCTCACAGGCCTGAGGTTTCCTCGAACAAGACATTCTCCTTCCTGATTTACACAGAAGTAGATATTGGTGACCTGCTCATGCTAAAGCTGCAGTGGGAGAAAGACACTTTCTTCAGCTGGTCTGACTGGTGGACTCCTTTTACATTTGACATCCAGAGAGTCCGAGTAAAGTCAGGAGAAACTCAGAAAAAGTAACTTGTTTTCATTGTCTTAAAGTATTGATTTTAGTTACTGTTTTCTTTTTTTTTCCATGAGAGTGTGGGATAAAAGATGGCAAGCAATTACAAATGGGTGCAGCACTGACGGTCAGACCTTCAGTGACACCAAAGCTGTATTTACCTCAACTGGGTTTGCAGTTGCTTTGTTTCCCTGGGATATGCAGTCTGTAATTTTACTCCCACAGGATTCATTTGCATCCCACTGTCTCGTGTGTTTCAGGTTAATTATAATATGCTGGAGGACCTCCACAAACTATAAGTTTTGAATTGCGTTTGCAGTTGCTCTCTCCTTTCTCCTCTTGGACATTCCTGCAAGTTCTCTTGAGACAGCATGCTTAGGAGACTTTAGAGACCTTTCCAAAACTGTATTTGCATAGGAAATGGTTGCTTCATCAATTTGGAATTCCTTGGAGCTGGGAATCCCTGAATAGCCAGTGGAAACAGAAACACATGGCTCTGTTGAAGGCATATAAGACACTGCCAATATGTAAATATTAGAGTCTGAACTGGACTGTTTTTCTGCTGAAACTTTTGAAACATTCGAATTCATTAGGCAGGAAAACTGTTGGCAGATAATATGTTCCTTCCTTGAATAAGAGGTGCAGCCACTTTTTTTATTATTATTTTTTTTTAAATAGCTATCAGAGTGAACAAATACAGGGGTGGGGGAAGTACTGATAAATTTAAAAGCAGCCGCTGAGGTTTGCTGGAATTGGCTGCCTGCTTTAATTGCAAACATCCAGGGAGCAAGGCTGCCTTCCAAGGCAGGTCACCTGAAGCGAAAGTCACAGGAGGGCCGATGTAAACGTGGATCCAGGAGACCTCGTGCCAGAGGCGCTGCTCTCTCGGACACTGGGAGGTCTCATGCAGAGCACCAARGTTATGTCTGCAATTTTAGCTCTATGCTCAATGCATTTACCATTTGCATTGGTACCAATGCATTACCAAACGCATTACCAAACRCATTTTCTGATAGGCTGGTTCTTCCCTCACAAGATCCGTGCTTTCTGCTTTGTAGGAAAACGATTTTCTCCCCGTGATTTAGCACTTAAGGCAGTAGTGCCCACATGACATAAAGGCTGCCCTCAAGCACGGATTCTTAACCATATGTATAATGCTATATATATATATTTATGTTAAAAGCCTGTCTCAGTGGCGTCACTGTTTGTGTTCGTTCCACAGAGTGGTGTTCTGCTCCCGAGATGGCATCTCGCGCCTYGGGAAGGGAGAAGAAGCGGCGATCTTTGTGAAGTGCATGGAGCAGCCAACCAACAGGAAAAGAGGAGGGTAGGTATCAGCACTTCGCCTTGGGGTGGTGGGAAACTGCATGGCAGAAGCATGAATCCCTGGGGAATTTCCTCCCAATACTGGTTGACTTTTACACCACTCTGCTGAAGACGTGGGGAGCGTCACAGCTCTGACTAACCGGAGATTTGCTTTGGCATCTTGAAAGCCYTCAATTTGGTTCTCTGCTTGTGTGGTTGTTTGCACCTCTGCAAAGCAAATACACATCACTCCCTCTCACGCTGACACAGCGGACAAGCATGAACGATTGCTGTGCAGGTTTACAAACATGACACTCCTCACTTGGCCTCCATCTAGAGGTGCCCTGCATTTAAGCCTAATTCAAGGACATCCAAACACCCACGCTGAATCAGGCCAGAGCCCCCTTTTCCCACTGGCCAGCGGCAGATTTGAAGGGCAGTGGAAAGGCCAAACAGGCAAACACRGATGTTCTTGCTCCTGGCAACCTCCACGTGAGTGGCTTCCCGAGAACTGCCTCCAAATTGCGTTGGAAACTCCATCTTTGTGCTTAATAAGCCACTAATGGATTTTTCTTATCTGTTTAATTTCTGTTGCTTTTTCCTGACCCAGAGTAAACTTTCAAAAATGGGCCGTGTTTCTTTGGACTTTGTCAACTCAGGTTTGAACTGGAGAAGTGGTTGTGTTTATTTTAGTGCAGTTGCCAGGGGTGAAAGGTCTCACAAGGACACTTACAAATAGCCATCTAGCTCTGCATAAAAAGACATATGTGCTGACCTTCCCTCCAGGGCAATGGCCTGGTTAGGCCTTGACCCCCTTGTCTACTTGCAGGGCACCTGTAAAACAACCCTAAGTTATATCAAGCAGCAGCCACTGAAAGCCCAATTTATTAATTTATTTTCCTGCATTTTTGAACTGTAAGTCTCAAAAAGACAAAAAGGAACAAGGATCACTTCATCTTATCTGTGCTCTTTTTCCTCTGCAGTGCCAAGAAAGCCTCTAAAGAAAATTCTGCTCATGAATCTGCTTAGAAGTAACAAGAATGGAGATTTCTTTCTACACTGGGAAAGAGGAGAGTCTATTCATCCCAGTGAAATGGGTCTTCAGAACCAAATATATAGAAGTATTTATCTGCTGCTGGCTTTTTTGCCTGCTATTTCTAGCTATTCTAGGAGACCTCTTGTAAGGAAGTCTCAGCACACAGAAAGTTGTTACTAACCATAAAGATGCATTATTCAAATAGTATAAAACAAAAAAAAACAAACAAACAAAAAAAAACCACATCAAAAAAAGAAAACTTGCCAGAACAACTTGCCAAAAGCTTGAGTACTAAGAAGGAATAAGTAATATTGCTTAATTATAGTGCCTCGTGATAAGGTTTCTTGATATCAAATCTTYTATAGCAATTTTCTAATATTTATTGAAAAGGAGTAAAGCCTTGTACCTGGCTTTTCTTTCTAACCGATATAGTATTTCAGGAGTATTCTGAAACTGAACAGATATGGGTTTTTGTTTCTGTTGTTGTGTATTTTTCTTCTATTTTCTTGCTTGGCTAACTGAATTTTCTGAAAGTTCAGTGGTCAGATCTCATTGTCTTCAAGTGTGTGTTTAGCAAATGAGTAGATCTCTTATGTGAAGAAATATCTTTCCTATTTTTAATGCTATAACTCAAAGATGTCAGGGACTGAATATGGGGATAAATTTTTTTAGTTTGTGGTTATGAATGTGTTACACTGGGGGTAGATGCCAGTGCTGCTTATCAATAGGTATGATCTGTTAAGCTATGTGTTATTATGCAGCTTATCCTGCAATAAATACCCAGCTATAGGACAAGACAGCAGTACCAGTGTCCTATGCAGATATTGCATTTTTCATCTGTGCTTTCATCTCTTTAAAAAAAACGACACCATCGAACCTCTAACACTGTGCTGAGTTGGGAAGTGCAAAGGAATCAAGCTACCAGAGACTGCAGGAAATGGACTTTTCACCTTGTTTGCATCCCTGATGCTAAAACCGCGGCAGCTACTCTGCTCTTTGACACTTAACGCCAGTCATGTAGCTGAGTGGCAGCTGCATTGGGTTCGGACGTAAATCAACCTGACAGCTGACAAGCCGCGGTCACGCTCCCCTATACTGGAAATCTGATTTCCAGTGTTTGTGGCAGGGCTGAGTGCAGAGCTGATGCTTGGAGGTGCTTGGTTTTCCAACAAGAGGTGGGATTCAGCAAGGAGCAGGAGCTGGGACAGTAGAGAGGCGCCTGGCTGTGTGATCCACAAAAATGAGTGCTCTGAAAAACACTTGAATTAGACATGCTGTGAGTAGCCAAAAATAGGTGAAATGAAGGCTTTGGACCTTTCTTCCTGTGTCTCTCTTTTTTTTTTTTTTTGGCATGTATTTTTTTTCTAGTGCCCTGAAAGGTTCATAGTCTTCATTTAGCTTTAAAGGGGATAAAAAAAAATACTGGGGATGCGGGAAGGCTGGAAGGTAGATACTCGGAGAAGTGGTAATGCGAGCTATTGATGCTGACTTTCACAGTCTTTTCCCACAAGTGCAAGATGGTACAAAGCTGATGATTCTCCAACATCATCATTCCAACTTTAAAACAATGGTGACACATGTATGCATACACATATATAAAGATAGGTAAATAGATAGATATATTTTTAGCCATGGCTATTGTTACATATAGGGACAAAAGTTCTAAACAGTGCAATAGTTTGAATATTAATAACTCCAACATTGCTCGCATTTGGTTTCCTAACCCAACAGCTACAACAGAGATAGGATGAGTCACTGAGGGAGGGSTTGAGTGTTAAGCCACTGCATTTGAGACTTCTAAAAATAAATACAGTGATTTGTTCCATACAGACTTAACATTTTGTTGCAATTTTCTCCTAAGATTTGTGATTCTTTGGAAACAAAACTTGGACAAACAGGTCTGCTTTTAATACAGGATCTAATACAAGCACATACAGTATTTGGTCATCAAAGAATGAAGGTTCTTGTATGTGAGGACACATGATTTAGCTTTGAATGTTATTTATTAGCTGTATATACCATATTTATGTGTGTGTAAAGGTAGTTTGTATATATTGCTAAAGTTACTGAGAGTATCTGCATTTATACAGTTGTGTAGTATTAATCCTGTATATAACTTTCAGAAAGATTTTTATCAATGAACCACTTAACCACATCAGAAGTAATGCAGTGTAAAACATTTTTTTTAAAAAGAAAGCTCCTCAGTTTTGTATGGAATGGAAACCTATGGTTTTAATAAAAGTTTCAAACTGATGCCAAGTCACTAGTTTCCTTTGGATGAAATAATATGAGAGGTGTCTGTCTTATTTTATGTGAAACCCATAGCCTATTAATGAGATTCTGGAATGAGAAGACAGGCTACATTTATTTCAAAGAAGCTTGTGATTTTTTTTTTTTTTTTT